ATCTTGCTGCTGTCCATTATAATGGTGGCCATGTATCTCGGGTCCTGCTTATTCCAGCCGAGCCTCACCAATGGTGTGTCAGGCTCGGAGCTCTCGTATATGATGGTCGAGTGCTCCTTATCTCGCAAATCGAAAACCCTAACCGAGCCATCTGCTGAGACGGAGGCAAAAACCCCCACGCCTCCCCAGGCTATGTCGTAAACCTCCTTATCGTGAGCGATCAGCTGTGTGTCCACCACCTCCTTCTCGATATCCCAAATCGTGCAGGTGGTGTCGATGCTGGAGGTGCCAATCCTCCGCGGCTCAGCCTCGTTCCAGTCGAAGGAGGTGAGCGGCCCGGAGAACTCGCTGTTACGGTTGTTGTTCAGAAGGCTCTTGAGCTCCACGCGGCGGCCGCCGTCGGAATCGGAGATCTGCCAGAGGCGAAGGAAGTCGGAGGAGGAGGCGAGCAAATCGGGCCGCTGGCACTCCTTGTCGGGCACGAAGATGAGCTTGGTTGGCGGGTAGGGGTGGTCGAAGGATAGGGCCGGGTCGGAACGGATCTCGCCGGTGGAGTCGTCGAGCTGCACGATCTCGACGCGGTTGGGGTACTGCTCGAGCAGGCTGGCGATGGCGAGGCGGTACTTCTTGTCCTTGCGCACGCTCCAGTTCATGGCGTAGATATGCCATGGGGCTTCGTAGGTGTAGATCTCGGAGCGGCGCTGCTGCTCGTCCGACACGTCTTGGTTGAGGTCGCTGCTCGCCCCCATCTTTTTTTGTGTGCCCTAATCGAGTTTTTTGCTCCGGCGCTCTGGATTTCGCCGCCGGTGGCCGGAGAATGTTCCAGAAAGAAGGAAACGGTGCAGGAGGAGGGTGTACCCTAGAGTACAACTCGAACTCCTCGAATATTCTTGTACACTAGGATAATGGCGGTTCTGATAAAATCGACGACGAATGTGTGCTTGTAGTTGTAGCTACAAGAATTTTATTTTTCATTTATCAATCAAACCATAGTTAATTTTACTTTGAGATTAGTTGAAACTAGTGCATGAGTTCATATTTTAAATCTTTGTTAAACTTTATTTTAAATATAATTGTTTATATTTTTCATATCTCATTTTATGATGGAAATAAAATAAATACAAACAATGAAAAATATATATTATTAAATATTTCTTTTTACCCAATATTTTTTATTTAAGGAACATTATTAAACCTTCAAGTTCTGATTTTAAAAAAAAAATTCAATTATTCAATCAATGATTGTTAATACAATGTAAAAAAATAATAAAAATAATCCTGACCTTAAAGTAAAATTATTTTCTATTTTTATTTTACTCATCAAAATCATCTAATTTTTTAAGCATTTTCATATTTATATTTCAATGTTACTTCATACCAATTTATTCAATGATCAACCATTAGTGAAATCACTGACCAAATTAGAAGAGAAATTCAAATATTATCTTGTATCATCTTTTTTTCTTTCTTATTTATTTGTTTATTAAACAATTAATAGAAAATCCTATTTTCATCATATATTTAATTATAATAAAATCAAATTCAATCTAATTAAAGTAATAATTTAAAATTATAAAATCAAATTCAATATAATTAAAGTAGTTAAAATGTTTGAGGAAAAAAATAATTGTGCTTTCAAAAAGAATTTTATTTTAACATAAGAAAAAGTATAAGAAAAAAATCTACATGGGTGTTTATTAGATGTCTCAAAAACACCCGTAAAGGAAAATCAGTAAACAAAACCATTCATGAATATTTAACGTAATGAAATAATAAATAATAAATGTTTATTAATATATTTAAAAATTTAATTTTAAATTTCAAATAGAGTTAAAGTCGGGATAATTTAAATTTATTTTCAAAAAAAATTTTCTAAAGTGTTTAATATTCTTGTAAATATACCCTTAAGAATAATCTTACCATTTTAATTTCAAAAAGATTTGGCGAGTTTATTAATGAGATAAATTCATTTAGGCAAAAAAAAAAAAATAGTTAAAATATTATATTAATTATATTTTAAAAAACCCAATTAGATAAATGTAATTATATTATATAGTTTGTCAGAACTGTGATTCTATGAATAAATCCCTCACCTTTTTTGTAGTAATAAATTATTTTTTAAAAAAAAAACAATCACACGATCTTTCTTTTAATTAAATTTTATTTTTATAAGATATACATTGAAAAAAAAAATTGTTGCCTTTAGAATTTCCCGTTGGAATTGTATGTTACTCGTGGAATTTTTCTTCGGATGAATAATAATAAGAATAAAAGAGTTCAACATGAGTTAGGATTCTAAATTTTGGGGAATATATTATTGCACACAGATCGGATTTCTATTGGAGAAGATAATTAATTATGATATGCATTAATTGGTTTGGAGAGATGAATAAGAAAACTAATTATACACGATCTATTACTATAAAAAAGGATTAAAATATATTTTAATAAATATGGCTCGGCTTTATGAATATGTTTATCTTAAATTCAACAAGTTTTAATTATTAGTTTTTCAATACATAAGAAAACGTGTTTTCATATTATGGGGTAGTTAGAATTTAATGGATTCTTGTTATTATCTATTAATCACATACGGATTTAAAAATTAAATCCAAACAAAAAAATTTGAATTTTAATCAGCGGCCCAAAATTCAAATTTATTGAAAAAAAATTACCATTAATCTATATCTATTATTGTAATCTGATTTTTTTTGTCTATTATTGTATTATTTTATGTAAAATAATAAAATAAAATAAAAAAGGATTCAAAAGCGATATTATGAAAAAACCAATATGAGATTTGTTGTTATTCGATTTTAACAAATCATTTCCAAAAAGAAAGGAATAAAAAAGGATTCAAAGCATGATTATGAAGAAACTGAATCCTACCAAATAAAAAACTGAATCCTACAAAATCGCTTCCAAAAAAAGAGGAAAGGATTGAAAGCGGGATTATGAAAGAATTTTAAAAAAAAAAAAATTAATGAAAACAAGCGGGATCTTTTAGCGGGAAAATTAAGGAATTATTTTCGAGTTTTTCAAATATTTTTTCTTAACCGTATTTTGTAGTAATAGATTAGTTATTTCCCTTTTCATTATTTATATAATGACTATAAGTGTGGAGTTGTGTGTGTGGTATTTTTATATGTTTCTATAGTTTTTCTTATAGTTATTTGTATTTTCTTACAAGAGCCCTTGGTGCACGGACGCGTAGTTGGTCGCTGTCGTGCAAATTTATTCACTACGACCCGCAGAGAGCTCCGCAGCCACGAGAGATTTCAGATGTGCAAAGTCCACAAACGTGACCTTTGACTCTCGACGCGTGTCTCGATGGATCTAATACCCTTGGATTGCAACTCCCGTGTCCCCATCACCTATCAATGAATATCGTACGAATAATCCAATGATATGATTCGTATGATCCGAACATCCGTCCACATCTGTTCGTCTGAGCCGTTGGCATGATGGCAACAATCTGTAAACTATCTATATGAGTGAACCATTTCACCTCTGCAATGTTCGTTGGGTTGGAACCTAAGCTAATCGCCATTGGCTCGATCAACATCACAGCAGTTCAATTTGCACCACGTACATGATTTTCTAAATTAATTCAAAAATATTTTTGTACATTTTTTTTTTAAATTCCAAATCTCCTTATCTACTATGGAAATCCTCCCTATATATAATTCCCGAATGCGCTGAGCCTACGTGGCTGCTTCTGGTGCTTCAAAATCCTATTTGGCGAAGAATCATGTTTCGTAATTAGGTTTGGATGAAAAATATTGATGTATTAATAATTAATCATCTAGGTTCGGGTATTCCATAAATATTATTTAGCTAACTTAGGTATTTTAATATCACTTTTACTAATATAACCTTTTATTTTTTTGTAATTTTACATAGTGAGGCAGTAAGTGACTAATATATCCCTGAATTTGATTTGTTTCCTTCAATAAGCTATTGAATTATAAATGTATTTTAAAAGTTGATAACTTTTGTATTTTTTATCGGTTTTACATATATAATATATCAAATTAATTATCTT